GTCTAGACCGACATCATGCACTTGTTCTCGAACATTGAACCTGTTGCAGAGGAGTCCAGTAGTGTACGGAGCACCTCAATCAATTTGGTCACATCCATCATCACCCCCATGACCCATCGCCGAGCCGCCGCTCATCTGGCTGGGATGCCCAGCCTCGTCACGGAATATTTCCCCGACCCCCTCCCGATCGACAAGAGCTTACCCAAGCTCTGGCCAATCCAGTCCGCCGCAACTGCCGGACCCCTGAGTCACGTTGCTTTTATGCCCCCCGAGCTTCGAGCTGACACTTTGGCGCCCTGACTTGTGAAGCTCAAGCCACATTTGCACGTTGCAACCCTCTGGTAACGTGGTCGATGTTGAGTGACCTACGACCCGTGTGGATGAAAGACGGAGAGGGAGGCTCAGTTGACAAGCACCCTGGGAGGGGAGCACCGGGCGCTTGCTCGATGACCTGCGTCCAATGGAGCAGCAGGTGCTGACGATGCAGGTGCTCTGGCTGCGCCATTAAACCCCTGATCGCGGGGTTGCGATGATGGCGTCGAATGGCGGGGTCAAGTGGGCAGGGCTCGGGCGAGCTTGGTGGCGAAGGAGCGATCGAGACTGAACAGGCTGGGCTTCAACATTCGGTAGGGTGTACATATCACCCATGACACAGGAAGAGATTCAAGGACTAAAATTGCGATGCCAACCACAAGTATGGCGGATTGGGATTGCCCGAATGCCAATCAGACGCAGGAGGGGAAGCTGGGTCAGTCTAGATTCTGGCGCCCAGAGCAGTGAAGAAACAGCCGATGTCCAAAGGGCGCGGGGGGCAGCGATGTATCCCCCGAATCAATATATTCAGGACCAGGCGTGATGCATCCATGATTCGCAACTGAAGCCTGGTCCCGCGCCGTTGCAAGGGTAGGTTTATCTCTGCTTGAGTGGCAGAATGTAGCGGCGTCAATGGCGGCAAGCTGCGTCCTAGGTTACGAGTCTCTTTATCCGACAAGAAAGCGGAGCTCTTGTACAGTATACCCAGGGGTATAGAGCATCAGCCGGGCGTGCTCGCGTCTCGCGCTGACTCGTCTTGATGGATGAAGCTGCGTCCCCGATACAGATCTTCTCGTCTGATGATTGAGGAGATGCACCTCCGATCGTCGCGTCTGCCCCGCCCCCACCTCAGAAGCATGTCGAGCACCTTGTGGTCTTTCGATGTCGGCGCCCACTTACTCTATTGTGAGGAGGCAGTGAGAGGATGTGGTAAGACAACGATGGAATCCCGCACGAATACGGCGCCGTTCTACGCCAGTGGCACCCAGCAGGTGATCACCAGCGGTGCCGCTGTGGAGTGGTCGATCATGCTCGGCGGGTCAAAGCTCACTGGTGGGCACCCACTCAACAAGTGCTGGTGATAGTGGGCCTGGAAGCCGTTGCTGGCCAGACCGCTCACTCGTCATCCAGGCGACTCTCTAGTGAGCTTGGTCTATGAGAGACACAGCCTTGTATTTTGTTGATGCCAGCACCCGCTGGATCTCCTCCAACAGGTCATAATCCGGCCTTGAGCGGCCCTAAGCGGCCATGAGCAGCCTTGAGCAGCCTTGAGCAGCAGCCCGATGCCGACTCTCTCCTGTTCACCATCGATGCACTCGCTTCGAGGTCGAAGGGCCCTGGTCGAGACGGACGTCTTCACTGGCCAGGACGAGATGGCAAGGTGATTGGACGGGATCGGCCTGGTATGAATCGAATCGTCCCGGCCCACTGCCCCTCCCTCCCGCGGACGGCCGTCTGGACTGACAAAGCCCGCAGGCCACCAATCACAAGCGATGACGAGGCACCCTCTTGAACTACGGCGCGGATGGGATTCACGTGGGCACAACAACATCCACGGCCGGGCGTGGGGCGTCCACCAAACTGAGATGGAAACCAAGCCCATCGACGAGATGGCGTACATAGTACCTGCTTCTCTGCTCGTTTGAGGGTGCTGTCGACCGGTGACCTTTTGTGATGGGATCCTGAGACATGCACACTAACTGTTTGAGAGGGTTCGTCATAAAAGTATCATGGGATAAGAGACGTGAGCAGGCGACCCCATACTTCGTCATGGTGGATGGATGTGACAAGCTCATGAGTAGATGAGGACGTGCGAGTGGTGCAAGCCGTGGGAAGAAAGCGAACATGGGTCCTTTGGGGGTGTCTCCAGAGTCTTGCAGCTCGAAAGCCCAGTGGCCTGCCCATTTGCTGTGGCATCGTGGGTTGTGGAAGGTGATAGAATGGTCGAGTGCGTGGGATTCCAGGGGGGCGATCCGGAGGGCAAAGGCCACGACAGTAGGCCAATGCGGGTGACGAGCCAACTGGAAGCCGGCCGTGGGGTGCGCAGGCGGTGTCGACTGGCCCACCTGCATGAGACGACAGTCGATCGACCAGTCAGGCACAAGACGATGGTGCCGAAAGGGTAGATGTTGCAGCGAGGGCGACGAGTGAAAGGTGGAGGTCACGGCAACGATGTGATGGAGAAAATGGGGCAGTAGACGTGAGCTGATGCCAGGACTCATGATGGCGGTCTGAATCTGGGTCTTGGTGGATGAGGATGGCGAGATGGAAGATCGAAGAGCCATTGTCTCGTGAGGCGTGGTGGAGTGAAAGGGGGGCTGTCGAATGGATGGTGGAGCTGACCCCGTCCATATCTAGGAAGGTACCCAAGGTACCTATCTACGGTAATAAGCTATCCTGGTAGCTCGTCGAGGTTGCCCAGGATTTCAGGATGCGCTGGAAGGGCAACATCGATGGGGATAACACGAGCAGGCACGTTGACAAGACATGGGACACGGCATATAGGGGGCTGAGGTAGGCCCGTCGATTGATAGGTACCCAGAGAGGTAGGTACCAAGGTGACCAGGCACGTAGTGGAAGGAGTGGAAGGAAGGAGGAAGGACGAATGAATACAAAGGCAAGGTAGGGGAAGGAAGGTACGACCACAACATGTACCCAAGGGCAACTGTAGAAGGTCCCTGAGCAGACGATGGGACGGAAGGAAGCGTCAAGGCACAGACAGACAGGGCAGGGAACAGAAACCAGACGACGCCAATGACACCACCAGCTGATGCTATTTGCCCGACAACGCACACATCGCGAGACCATCGCTCTGGGCCCTGCAGCTAGCAGCCCCGAAATCCACTGCACAGCACAGCAAGCAGGTCGCCGTTGGTCAGGCCCGCAGCAAACCAGCCAGCACCGAGCGATCCTGGACTCAATTGTACAGTACGGTTGGCCGACTATCGTGTCCATCGTCCATCCCAGCCCGGTTCTCCTTTCCATTCCTGATCAAGGCTAGTCCATATGGCTCATGGTCCCAGGCCACCCGATCTGGACATTGAGCTGCCCGCACGCCTGTGCAAGCCAGCCTGTTCTAGGTGTAGAAATCCAAGTCTCCTGTCGAGCCGGGTCACCTGCTCATGACCCGAACCACCTGGGTGATATCATTTGCAGGGCTGCCTTGCAAACGAACATCAAACCGAAGCGACGCATCCGCAGCAACAGACCCAAGACTCTCCACCAAGCAACCCTCACCGCCAGATTCATACCACGACCCCCGTCGTTCTGGCTCAAACGATACCTCATTTGGCCATTTGCACGACTGAGAGAGGAGTAAAAGGGGACTCTTGCATCAATACTGCCTCGACGCCCATAGCAACGCTCTGCTGGCGCAGTCTTCGTGCCGTTGCAGTTCCAAACAAGCCCTCGTCAACATAGATCGTATATCGCCCAACTCTGACATTGTCTGTCTGCCCTTTGGCGTCTCTTTCAACAGACATACCAATCCATCGCGTGGCCGGCAATTGCCTATCACACAACCAATACATCCCACACTGTTTGACGACTACCCATTGATCGCTCACTCGCCCGAAATCGATCCTCCCGCAGGTACATATTGTCGCCACCGCACACAGCAGACGGCAGATGTACCTCTGTACCTGCTTTGTACCTCGACTGCCAGTTGTTTCCGACCACTGCAACCCGTTCCTTCGCCTTCAGAGCCATCCCATTCCAGTCCCTCGCCAACGCCAGCGTCGCCCGACCTTACCAAACTGCGCTATTCGTCGCAGTTTCTGTTCGCCTCTTTCATCGAGAATTTTCCTCTTCAGTCTTTTCTCTGCTTCGTCCGCCCCAGCCGTCGGCCTTCACACTTTTTTTCGCCCCCTCTGTCCCTGGCCGCCTGAAATCCGGACCGGCCGATCCAGCTACGAGGCGCAGCACCGCCAGTTCTTCCGACGAGGCGGTTGTTTGCACTTCGATTCCTCAGCTTCATTCAGCACTCGTCACCACCACAGCCCCAGGCGCCTCTGCACTGTCAGCCATTCGTTCGCTGTGCCACTTCCAGGAACGACAAGCGCCTTCCACGGGCCTTGCTCAGCACCCCCCTTCTGTATCTCGACCTCAGCCGTTGGTCAGCACCGGAAATTTGCTCTCACGTTTTCCAAGCAACTCGAGCTCTTGTTCATTCCTCTAGAAGCCGAACGCGAGACGCAGATCCCGTGCACCGTACTTCTACAGCACATTTTACCTTCACGCGACGGACCCTAGACGCGGGTGTGACCGCTGCCGCCCGTCACCCTATTATTTCGCGCAACATATCACTAGCAAGACAGCACTCCTTCCAGTGCTAGTTCGGCCAAGAACGTCGCCTGTCTCACGTCCGGCCACTGGACTGCACACAGACCCGTCTGGTGCTCTCTCTCTGGTCCGTCGGCCCCCTTGTGGCTACACCCCCCTTCGCCTTCCCCTCCTTTTCGAGCCACCCAGAACCACACCCAGCCCGCAATTTTCGCCTCCGCCCCCCAATCAGACCCCAGCAGCCTTCAAGGACTGGCCCATCCTGACTCTGACCTCATCAGGTTTCCAACTAGAGTCCCCCGTCCGGCCCGTCTCCTGTTCAACCCAACCTTCTAACCCTCAATCATCAATCATCAACCAACACTGACCTGGGACTGCCAGAGCTAGGGGCCACGACAGATCACCTTGACGTCGTTGTCCTCGTTTCCTAACCCCATTCTCCTCTCGTTGTACTCCTTTTCTCTCTCTCTCTCTTTTCTGTTGCTGCACTTCCACACCTGGGTGCATCAGGTGCCAATCGTCCCTCCGACCACCAAGCCCGCCTCGTTCATAGGCGACCATCCCTCGAATTCCCGAACCCCCAAGAGAGGCTCGCCTTGCACCGCCTCACCCTCACCCCAACATTGCTCGCCGCCGCATCGATGCAATAACAGCTCCTCGCTGACATCGCGTTTTTGGAACCACGAGCGACGAATACTTACATCCCTGGCATCCGTCCGCCCGCCGATTCTTGTCACACGGATTTCCATTATCCCCCAGTTTCGACACCTCAGATCAATCGACTGCCAACATGACCTCATTACAGCCTTGTCCTTACAAGGTCTTGGGTGTCTCCAAGGATGCGCAGTTGTCCGAGATTCGAACTGCGTATCGCAAGCTTGTACTCAAGTGTCATCCTGACAAGGTCCAAGACCCGGCTTTGAAGGCGGCCAAGCAAGATGAGTTCCAGAGGGTTCAACAAGCTTACGAGTTATTGGGCAGCGAAGAAGAACGCTCCAAATACGACGATCAGATCAAATTGATGGAACTCCAGCAGAAGAGACGGAATGTCGAAGCCAACACATCGGCCGCTCGTACACCTCCTCGCTACTATGAAGTCCGCACTGCAGAGCCCCGACCCGACTCCTACAAGACGAAGACATCTACTCGCGCTCCTAGCACAACCGGCTCCAAAATGTACTCAAATTATCCGCCGTCTCGCTCCTACGAGGACGAAATTCACAGTTCTGCCCGTTTTGAAGAAGCTGCGCGGAGCGCTCGACGTGCTGCTTCCTACGACGACAAGTCTTCGAAGCGAGACGATGAGCGAGAGCGTGATCGCGAGCGTCGACGCAGGAAGGAAGACCAAGAAGAGAAGGAACGGCTTTTGAAACAGGCTGACAAGGCTGCGGAGAAAGAAAAGGCGGCGGAGAAAGAAGCTCGCCGTGCCGAGAGGAAACGACTAGAGAAGCTGCAGGAGAAAGAGCGGAGGCGAGAGACGGAGGACAAGCGCAGCAAACACAAGTCGGCCTATGTGGAACAATACGATGACGAGGACTATCGCTCACCTGCCAAGGTCGACAGGAAGAAGTCAAGTTCTTCTTCCAAGAAGCACGACGACAAGGAGAAGCGCGAACGCGAACGCCTCTCCACTCACGGAGTTGAGCCGCAACAAATGGACAAGACCCAGATTGCAATGATGGACGCTGTCCGTTACATGACCTCCGCGCGACAGAAAGCTCAGCCGCAATTGAGCCGGTCCCAGACGTACCAAGAGCCCTACCGGTACGCACCTCCAGCTGCGGTCCCGACACCTCCATCGGCCCAGGAATCCCAGTTTCAACCTCCTCCTAATGATCCAATCTCGGTGGAGGAGGATGATGCCCCCCCGTCGCTCAGCTGCTAAACCATCTCCTAGACGCTCATCTGAAGCCCCCAAAGTTCGAGAGAAGTCCAGTCACAAGAAATCCTCATCTGGACCCAAGGATGCCCCCGCCACAAGCCCGATTGCGGTCGATCTGTCCTCCGCCCGTGTGCCCCCGTCTTTCTTGAACGCTGGTACCACCCCTCCGATGGTTCCGGAATCCCCGCCGCGTAAGACGCAGCTCCCTAGGGCCAACACGATGAGGGAGGCAGATTACGACCGACCATCGCCACAACCTACAATTTCAAGGTCACAGACATACCACTATGCCGGCGATCATGACATGCATTCTCCTGCGAGCGCGAATCCCCGCGGCCGTAGCCGGAATAGCTTCCAGCCGCAGGTCAGCGAAAGCGACTCTGATGACGAGGAGCGCCGCTACAGGGAACCTCGCCGACGCGAACGTCGCCACAAGACGCACTCTCCGGAACCGCTCCCGCAGGATTATCCCCCGCCACCTCCCCTGACCCGCGCCACGACGGCTCGATATGCCGTCAACAACGGGCGGACAGTCCCGATGCATGGGGAGCCGCTCTACCCCTACCGCGATGGATCCCCTCCCAGGAAATCAAAGGGATCTTACTACCCTTCTGCACACGTGCGCGTTGCCGAAGTCCGACCTCAAATGCCTTCCCGCGAGGGCGCCTACTCCAGCAGTGGCGGAGGTCCCTACTTCGGGAAGGTCAAAACTGCCAAGAGCTACACGCCCGACGATGTGCAATACAGCAACATCCCCCATCACCGAGGCTACCACGAGGAGGCATATGCCTGAGGTGCCATCCGGCGCCTTGCGTAGCAATTTACTTTCACGGGGCGGCTTTGCGCCTTGTGTCAAACTGTCATTTTCATTTATTCATTTCTAGTTTGGTTGTGCAATTCTGTAAGGGCGCCACTCTTGGGCGCGGGTCCGTACAGCAACGACGACCGCCATGTCTTATTCGATAGTTTTCTGCGTTTTTGTTTCGGATATCCATATATGGGGCGCGATGGAGTGCATTTTGGGGGAGTGAGAAGGGATACATGATGGGCATCGTGCTCAAAAGGTTGCGTTGCACCGGCTCACTGGACGCAGCGTGCGGCACTGGACGTGAGTATGGCCACCGCAACGTTGATCGTCCACAGGCAATGTCACTCTGCGCTGCTGCCACGTCGTGCGCCCTGTCGTTGGGTCGCAATGTGGTGCCAGAGCCTGACGGAGGGGCCGAGACGGGGCAACCTTGCTGGCGATGCCTTTGACTTTGACAAGCAGTCATGGAACCCTTGCTTTCATGTACGTTGAGGCGAGCCATAAGGGAGATGATCTACGACACGATACACACACACATTCACAACAATTGCATATTGGGAGGGGGCCACGAATGGCGAACGCACTTGCTTTTCTATTGTTTTCTTCGTGTTTTCTTTTGCCCTCTCCATTCGCCTACCGGAGTTGAGAACAGGGGGATACCACACTCGTTTCAAGGTTGATGAGACGAGACTTGACCACGCTGAGAAGCGAGGTCGCGAAGGCGAGGATTCTTCTTTCGTCATGAGGCCACAAGGCCAAGGTTGGAGCTGCAGTGCGCGTGCTCTGGCTACGTAATGTCAATAGACATGCTGATTTATTCCGCTGAGATCTTCCTCTGTGACTCTGCAACTGGACATGAGTTGAGCACCAATGCGTGAACAGCAGAGCCTTGGCCGTCTCGCGCTCTCTGCTCCATGACGTTTCCCCGCATCGTGATGGTCGATGTTGGGCAGCAAAGGAGGTCAGGACCACTGACGCCCAACTTGGACCTCGGGGACAGAAAGATGATGAATGGGAAATTAATATAACTGGGCCGTCGGGGCGCCTTTGCAGTACTGAACCTTTTCGACATGCCTTTGCCGACTGCCGGAGCGCGATCCTGGGCGTTGGGCTATGTTCTGCATTCGCGTATCGGAAGGCGTCTGTTTCCTGGCACTTGCTGCTGCTGCCCGATCCTGACGGGCTTCCGACGCTGTCGACGGTTGTGATGATTCGTCTTGAGTGATTCACGGACCATTATCACGCTAGGGAAGTTACGGCTTCTGGCGAGTGTCGTGGTGAGATGATTTGGAGAATCCTGTGAAGCTATCCCGTGATAATGTGTGTGTGTGTGTACGTTTTCCTCTTCCAATGGCCAGTCCAAACGCACCCAACAGCCCAATCTCACGCCCCCACCAAGAGCAAAAATACGAAAGTGCAAATGACAAGCCAAACGCCGTGACACCATCCATGATGCCTGGTGGTCTGCCTGCAACCCCTTGCCTATTTGGCGGAATTGCCCTGCCTATCCCCGGGCAATGCTTCAGTCTCCGCTGTGACAGCTGCCATCATAGCCCCTATCTGTTGCCTGCTAGCTGGTGAGCCTCCAGTGTGTGGCGCATCGTCAGCAGCCATGGTTCCACCAGTATGCATCTCGTCATCTTCTTCCGTCTTGACCACTGACATGCTGCGAGGCTGAGCCTTTACTTCGACTATTTTCGATTGCGGCAGAGCCTCAACGTTGGTCTTGGAAGAACCCCTGGGCCTCGGCGTGGCCTTGGGCTTCGGTGGCACTTTATTAGCCTTTGGCTTTGCCTTCGGTTTCGCTTTGCCGCCTGCGATCTTCTTCTTGTCCGGAGTTTTAAGCTCCTCCTCCTCCTCCTCGTTCTCGCTATCGTCAGAAATCATACTTGTCGGCCGCTTTGGTAGCGCTTGTTCGATGGGCTGCCAGTATTCATGCCATTCGTCGAGTGCGGCGCGGATCGTTTCTTTGGCCGTCGTGACAGACTCTGATTGCGTGCCCTGAGATCTACCGGCGTTCTTGCTCGCGGGGGCACGCGCGTCCCGCAGCAGGTTCTTGAAGATCTTGTCCAGCTCATTGAGACGAGTCCCGGGCTTGCTGTTGGGCGTAAAAATTGACCCTCGCAGCTTGTTCACACGCTCCGTCTTGCTTGAAACGAGCTCTTCCTCGATAAAGTTCCGAGCGTCCTGGAGCATCTCAGGTAGTTTGCGCTTGAATTGTTCTTTTACGACCTTTCTTTGCTCAGCGAAAGCTCCCACACCTGCAGCGCTGTGTTAGCGATTGCACCAGGGCAATGTCAGCACTGTGCGAGAAAACCTACCTGTGATTGAGAAAGCCTTCGCAAAGACTGGAGCCATGTAATCAGTGAAGATGTCAGAGACCGCGAGGCTTAAGACGCAGGGCATCGTTACGAAAGTCGTTGCCAGTGCTTCGGACTTCTTTGAGAAAGACGTCTCTCTCCGTATGCAGCGAGGGGACACGACGCCGGAGGAGGTCGCGAAATATTGCTGGAATTTCCTCGTCGGTGACGAGGTCAGTGATATACTGGTTGAAAATCCTCGTATTGCGACTCTCGGCATCGTTGATTATCTTTGGTAGTCTCTGGAAGAAGGCTTCTTGCCAGAATCTCGCATGTGCACGCCAAAAGTTGAGTGAGCTAACTGGAGTTAAAAGCCGTTCGCGCCAGGGACACGGAGATTTGGCTGACTTACACGGACGACATCCAGTTGTATGTCATTCGAGGCTTTGCTGAAGTTGTCCATTCGCGGCCGCCCCTCCTGACGCATGCCTTGTAGGTCATATACGAAACCTTTTCGTTTCTTTCTGGGTGAGAAACGTGAACCGAAGGCCTTTTATTTTCCCACTGTTCTTGGGCATGCAGCGCGCTCTCGCAAGCACGCTGCGTAGGAGCTTCGTCGCCCTTCTCAGAGCGTGCGGCACAGGCTATTGTAGTGTTTCGGAGAGGCTTCAAGTTGCTCAGGCTTCTCGCGAAACATGCCAGAGGGGTTCTGAGTGTCTAGATATCTTCATCAGCCTACAACCCTAGCCGAAGTCGACGCATGGGGTATACCTGTATCAAATGGGTCAACTTTTGGTCGAGCAAACGTTTGATCTCTTTCCCCTCTTCGGTCGAAATCCTCAGGCGCGCCGCACTTTCATTCAACGACCAGCTATCAAGAGCGTCCAACAAGGCTCGAGCATCGAGTATATCGTCATCAGCGCTCATGTCCCTTTTGGGCAAGTACGCACGCGTCAACCAGTCTCTAAGTGCGGGGATGCCTGTGTCGTTAGCATCAGAGAAGCCAATGACAGAGTCGCCGGCTTTGATGTCAAGAAAGGCGGAAGCGCTGATAGGCAGAACGCTTGTTTCGAATTCGCCAACCACTGATACTGCTGTAGGATTGACCTGAGCTTTTATGTCACTCAAGTTCTGACCCACGGCCTGCTTGACTTTGAGGTTGCGAGCATGTATGCAGGAGCGCTTGAGCTGCGACGTAAGGCTTTCTACGCCTCTCTTTTTGGCATCTCTTTTGTGTCTCATCCTTGCTAGGCGTGATTCCTCCGCTGCTAGGGTGGTTGTAGTGGGATGGGGTCGTTTCTTCAGCGGGCTCCTGACTTCTGTATCGCTCTCTTCCTCGTCATGGTCATCGATTATTTCGCGCTGCCTAGAAATCAGTTCCTCGAGGTTGGCAAGCTCTTCATTTTCGGCCTCCAAGGTGTTGACTGCTGCCATGATGATTTCATCATCAGGAAAATCATTTTCGGCGTTCTTCGGGTTAATATCATCAACCTTGGTGACAATGACAGCAAGAGAGTCTGGTTCGAACCTTCCGTCTAGCCCCATATCCATGGACAAAGTGGCGGGCATAAGCATAGCGTCGGAGCCGGCTTTATTGTCAGCAGCTCGAACAGCGTGCACAACAACGAGCAGCTTGTCGAGTCGCTCGAAAAAGTCCTTGGCCACGGCTGCGCGCGACTCGAGAGAGTCAGCAACTCCTGGAAGGTCAACGAGCTTGATCCCGTGCCGTAGGACATCGGATTTGAGTTGTATCTCCACCTGTTGCACCAAGGGCCAATGCTGGACGATGCCACGGCTGCGACCGGAGCTGTCAATGTATGGCTTCAGAGTCTTGCGGAACCGTTTTAAATTCGAATCGTTGATTTGTAACTTGTGTTTCTTAGTGCTGTTCTTGGTGTCCAGGAAAGGGACCGTCTTCTTTTTTGCTTCGAGTATGATTTTGCTCGGCGCGTCGCACTTGATTTCATTCTCGGTCAAACCCGACCAGTTTTGAACACTCTTTACTTGTTTCTGGACCTGGTTCAGTCGACTGACTGTCTCTGCTTGCACAAGCCCACCATGCTCCCGGGTGCTGTGTGCGATATCTGACAGCTCCTCCTGTAACAGCTCAAGGTCATGCGCAATTGATTCTGTACTCTTGAAAGTGATGATAGCGTGAAAGACCTTCTCGGGGTCATCAGAATGGTTGTAAGAGTAGATGCAAGGGGCAGCGGTGCAAGCGTCGGAACTGTTGGTGGGGGAGATGTCGTATCCGAGCATCGCGTTGGTGGCTGTGCTCTTGCCAGCCCCTGTGTCGCCGGTGAGACCTACAAGCCATTCTCGTTTCAAGGCGGATCTTTCGAGTTTGACTGCATCTGTTTAAGCATCAATGATACATGTAAGGCGTAGACAAAGACATACCTGATCTCTCGGGCCAGTCAGCTATGTCGCTGATGTCAGTAGAGGCAAGTTTCCCGAGCATGAGTCTCTGGCGCTTGAGTATATCGAGTGCGAATTGAATGGCATTCTCCTTCACTTGGACGCGCTTGCTGATGTCGCTAAGTATCTTGACGTCCGTAGGGCTGCTAGGGCATTCGGCCTTATAACAACCCACCACTTCATCTGCACTTTCCGTGACCGCGCCGCTCATGTTGGGCAGAAGTGGCGGGTGCTTTCTGTTGGAGGAGCTCGCAGTGATGATGCGCAGGACTTGAACTGTACTGGTATCTGAGGAGCGTCAACGAAACCTTCGTTGTGTTGAACTGAAGTGAGACGTAGGGCGGGAATGGCCTGTGACGGGAAAACTCTTGGGGACGATGTCAATAGTTTTAGTGAATCGGATTAGCGAAACAGAGGCGACTGCTGATGTAGCAAGTGCTGCGAGTGCCGATCCTTCAGACGGAAGGAGGGAATAAGAGACAAAGAAGTTGAGAAGTGTGACGACGAGTGTATATGAGCGCGTCTTTTGGAGTGGGGGAGGGGGGGGGTGGGCAGTATATGGATAAAGATAAGTCAAAGGTTGTGATTTGAGGAAAGAGTGAAACGAGGCAGGAGATGATCCGGGAAAGAGAGAGATGATTTGAGGGGATACAAACTAGCCCCAAGATGATCCGAGGTAGAAAAAAAGGCCGAGCTGAGATATGCAGAATTGTTGACTGTGAATAGACCGCAAGGACCTAGCTTGGGAAAGGACTGCTTTGCTCAAGTCCAACTCAAGCTAAAGGGTACTCGATGGCGTGTGACGATGAGTAGATTCGAGAAAGAACGGGCATCGGGGAATCCAACGCTCTGAAGTCCACACTGGAGAAGTTTATGTGGTAAGGAGTGGTCGGTTGTGTTGTGCCATATTGGTGTCTGAGTGGGTGATGGTAAAAGAAATAGATGAGAGGGTGATGGAACAACGCATTTATCTTGTTCGGCCCTGTTGCAGGTGGTAGGAAGGAAAGAGGTAAGTCCGGAGTGCAGAGAAGGCTATGGAAAGAGGTGAGTTAACCGACTGACATCGGAAGGAACTCTGCTGGGACAGAGATATCATTTACATTGTGGTTTGGAAGCAGCAGGAATTGAGGGATTGAGCGAGCAGGCTGGAAGTCTAGAGATTCATCGTAGTAAATCAAGCCTCGACAATGGCTGCCGCACCCTCTCATGTCGGCCGAAAGGATGAGTGTGTTTTCAGCTTCCCGTAACTTGATCTGAAAAATTCCATCTATTACTCTCGGGTATACGCTAATGGTCGTCATTCTATGCGCGCTTCCTCTCAAGCAGCTCGCACGCCTCCTTGATCTTGTTCGTCGTCGCCGTGAGCCGAGCCCACTCAAAGAGGTCATAATGATGGCCCTCGACGTCGAGAACCTCGCCGACGAAGCCAGGGTGGTACTTCTCCCAGCCCAGATCTCGCTGGTCTCGAAACAGGTCGACCCGGCTCACCTCACCGGCAACCTTTGTCGGCACGCCGTCTGTGGCTTTGAGGAGCACCGTCGGCGGCGGACCCCCAGGCACGCTGGGGACCGTGGCCGAGTAGCTGTTGACGCCGACCTCGGCCAGCTTGTCATCCTGCCATGCCCACTGCGGCAGCTCCCAGCTCTGAATCATCTCCACGGCGGCCGTCATGGCCTGCCTCGCCAGCAGGACGTTCTTCCTGGGAGGGTCCTCGTCATCGACCAGCATCTCTCCGAACTTCCTGTTCACTGTCTCGTAGTCCTTCCAGAGAGGAAAGGTGGAGTCCACCATGAGGAGGCCAGCGACCTCAATGTCGTTGTCACCCTCGAGCAGCCGGGCCATCTCCAACGCCAGCATGCCGCCGAAGCTCCAGCCGCCGAGAAAGACCCTGGCGCGGGCGGCCCCGTTGTCGGGGAAGTCGTCCGAGTCGACAGTGCGGCGCACCATGGCGACGTACAACTCGGCCATCTCGCGGATGCCACCAGGCCAGGGGGCGCCTGAGTGGAAGTGGGGGTTGGCAATGGCGTATACAGGGCGGCGAAGCGGGTCGAGGCAGTGGTAGGCGAAAGAGGTGCCGCCGCCATCGTGGATCAGGATGAGGGGTGTCGTGCCGGGGGCAGCATGCTGCGGGTATTGCACGACCTCGCAGAGGGGGTGCAGCATGGTGGTGGGCGTGCGAGCAGAGCAGAGCAGCGGTGAGGCGTTTTTGCCCAGTTGGAGATCCCACGTCAGGGGAGGGGGTTCTTACCCACTGGCTGTGTCAAGGCGATGGTCGAGGGCCGCGCTGTCCGTGTCGGATGTGACTTGGGCTTCTGTTCAATATTGGCGATGCTGATGATGTGTTGAGCCGACGGGATCGGGCTTTCACCCTCCAGGACATCAGGATGACTGGCGTGTCGAGGTCAGCTTGAAGGAAGGAGGGTGGGATGAGTGACCATTAGAGGACCGGCACTGTGTGGGCCCTTTTTGCGCTGCCAAACATGGCTTCGAAGGGCATGTGGCTTCCGAGTGTGTACAGTGTGCATCCTGTAGGTTCTTACCAGCCAGGCTTCCCTGCCAATCTTGACGACCGATCTCGAGGAACTTCATGGCTCATCCATTACCAAGGTATTCCAGAATCGCCTCTGGCGCCACATCCTGACCTGAGTTGCGCCTCCAAAAGATTACTTCAAGCCTTGATCCAGAACCGAGGTCACGCTGATCATCATGTTGGTGCGACGACGCCACCACTCGTCGTCATGATTCCCAAGCCCAGCAGCCTCGTCGCCATGGGCTGTCATGCCATGGGCTGTCATCAGCAGCAGAGAAGAAGCACTTCCATCCGAAGGCGTCAATATGATAGTGCTACTCATCGAAAGATCATCTATTAGACAGAGATAAAAAGAGGCTCGGTCTGGATCCTATCTCTCTCCCCCTCTCTCTGTCGTTGTCTCTCCACAAGTTTCTACCCCCGACACCGCAAGCACCACCAAGCCCCAGAAACAACCTGTGTTCAACCATGCGCATCACTCAGCTTTTGCCCGTGCTTTCCATAGCCGCGTGCGTCTTGGCTCTCGAGAACGAAGGACAAGCCGCACCCGAGGCCGTGGGCAGCGTCGAACGTCGTCCGGCTGCCGAACCTGATGCAGTGCCGGCCGGCCTGCCGGTTTCATTCTCGCGCCCCGACGTGGACCAGCCGGCATCGGAACTTCTTGAGACGGAAGTTTTTGAGGAGACAGGCACCGACGATGAATGGGATGACTTGACACTGCGGAAAGACAAGAAGAAGAAGAAGAGGATCAAGAAAAAGTTCCTGCCCCAGAAATACTTCATGATCGTCCACTTACGGTGCATGGATAAATGTACGGGTGAAGGTGGTAGCAAGAAACAGTGCCGTAAGTCCAGCTGGCAACCTCACACCGCTAACTGTCCAAGGTTCCGTTGTACCGTTGGAAGAAGCTCTGACGTGGATTCAAGGTCGTTATTGCCCTCCCAAGCCCCACTGGTTTCCGTTCGTCTAAGTTGATCCAACGTGAGGACTCACAGAGGTCAGGCGGCTTGGACGCAAAGGTAGGAGCATGTACCCTAGACACGAACAAGGGACCGAAAACTCAAGGATCGTTGCGTGTTCGTGTTCCTATTCCGCCGCGGCCTCGCTCATAAGGGTGCCCAGGCTTTCTCAGACACTCCAGAATCCAAACTCTACTGCCCGTATATCCTTTCCATCTTGCACTGCACCTTGATGACACGAGAGATAGAATTTTCAACGGAAAGAAACCTTCAGACCGCTCGCCTATAAAGGGAGGCTCCTGGTCGATCAAATGGCATCACAACTCCCGCCAGATACCACCCATTTCAATATTTCCTGACTACCACTTCTTACCCTTCTTCAAGTCATCCAAGCTTTCTTGATACCGTCCCACGCTTCTTCAAGTCATTCCAAGCCAGTCACTCGAACCAAGCACATATAACCAAGCACACACAACCAAGCACACACGAACCGCGCACACACACGAAGCAACGTAATGCGCTTGTCGTGCTTCTTCCCGGCCGTCGCGGCCGTCGCGCTCGTCTCGGCCGTCGTGCTGCCAGACCCGCGCCCCGCCGACCACGACGCCCTGCGCGTCTCGAGCGATCTCGAGGCCGCCGCCGAGCCTGAAGATGCCAACTCAATGGCGCAGGCCAACGGGCTCCTGAAGCCCTTGGACGATGACATAAACATCTACATATACGACAGAAAGGGCAGCCGAATTGCAAGGTACGGGAAGAACAAGCAGGTCGTAGAGTCCGAGGCGTATGAGGAGGAGGAGGACTACGACGACAACGAAAGGGACCGGAAGGAAGAGAAGGAGGAGAAGAAGAAGAAGAAGGCCGAGAAGGCCAAGAAAGCTGAGAAGAAGAAGGCGGCTGAGAAGGCCGAGAAGAAGAAGGAGGCCGACAAGGCCGAGAAGAAGAAGGAGGCCGACAAGGCCGAGAAGAGGAAGGCGGCTGACAAGGCCGAGAAGAGGAAGGAGGCCGAGAAGGCCAAGAAGAAGGAGGCCGAGAAGGACAATGACAAGAAGACGAAGACCGCGAAGGACGTAGAGGATGCCAAGAGGGAGATGAACAGGAAGAAGGCCGAGTGGGCCGCGTCGGACAAGAAGAAGGCGGCGGACGCGAAGAAGAAGCAGGAGAAGAAGAAGGAGAAAGACGAGAAGGCCGCGAGGGACAAGAAACACGACGATGAGATGCACGTGAAGAAGATGGCGAAGGAGGAGAGGTTGAAGAAGGAGGGCAAGATAAACAAGCCGGCCATCCGACTCAGGGGAGCCTGCATATCGAAGTGCTTCAGTATGATCCTTCCAATACTTTATCTCCCTTGCAGTAAGCCAACCCCCCCCATGGCTCCCCGCAGACTTTCCTGCCCTCAATTTCTAACAATCGTGCATAGTTTCGATGTGCTTTTTGAAATATGCCTGATCAAGTCGCAAGGCGATGCCTTGGGCCGTGTCCCGTGGGTGGCGGGGAGAGCTGTTTTGATGAGGGTTCTGCTGCACCTGGGGTACCAAAGGAGTCTATATTAGACGCAATATAGTGAACGCCGTTATGAAATATCATGCACAGACACCGCAGGGAGCGTGTCAACACCGGGCGTGACCGACCGTGAGAGCGTGTTTCCACAGACAGCCATACCAGCTGAAGCCATCGCCTCGGAAGCGACAGATCCGAGAGCCCGCCGTGGCTGCTTGAGAAGAATGAGGACGTCAAGGTAATAGGAGGTCAGAAGACAAGCAGTACATGAATGCTTGTGCCCTCGAAAGTTACAGGTCAAGCCCGGCACTCTGGCGTGAGGACGGCCGTTAAGCGCTTTCCATTTTTAAGCCATCATGCAGCCACAAGGATGGAAGTCTTGGATACTGAGCTGCTGAGAGGAGGAACAGGCAGTGCTCCTTCGGTGATCTGATTTTTTTTCACGTCGAACGGTTGACCCACCAGTTCTTGGCTGCTGTTTTGGGGCTCTTGGATTTATCAGGAAGGCACGATGCGCCCAGGATGCAGAGAGGCATGGCACCAAGAGCAGTGCGATGCATCATGTTGCTGAGCCCGTTCTCGACCCGACTCGAGAAACACTTCCCGTTGTGATAGAAATGACGCCTAAAGTCTATTTGGTCGAGCCATACTCAAGGGGGGGTATCTATTTTACGTACTTGTGTAGCGCCCAGGGAACTCCAGGCCCGACCAGCCGTCACGACCCTGTCCTCACGCCAACCACACCCAATGTGCCGCGCCATGCTCCTCCTAAACAGCCTCCCAGTCCATGGCATCCACCATAAAGTCAAACTCCTCGTCGTCGTCGATGGCCATGTCGGCGCCCGCCGCCCCGTCCGCGGCAGCAGCGGGCACCATGTCGGCCCGGCTCGCGAGCTCGGCGACCCACGCCTCGGCAATGCCGTACCCCTGATCGAAGCCGCCGAAAATGTGCCCAAACATCGAGTCGAGATCGTAGCTCTCGAGCGGCGCCCGCCCCGTGATGCTGCCCCTCGTGGGTCCCTTTAGTAATGGTGGCTGCTGGGCAGTCGAAGGCTCGTCACCCTCGGCATACTTCCACCGGTTCCTCAGCTCCTTCGCCCGGCCGAGGAAGACGCGGACGTCGCCGGTCCCCAGCGCCGCGCGCAGCGAATTGTCGGCCCTCTCGTGCGCGGGCGAGCACGTTTCTGGGGTAGCGGGTGCGTGCCGTTTGGCGCCGGCGGCCGGTGCCCTTTCCGCAGGGGGCGGGGGGTAGGTTTTTTTTCCCGCGCTCGACGGGGGCGGGTCAAAGACGTCCGAGAAGGTGGAACAAAGGCGCCT